GAATGAAATAGTTTTGATTCAATTTGTCCATTTTGTCATTAGCGTAGTTTTTAAGTGTCATACCATGCAGCTGCTACTAACAGCAGTTTCAACAAAATACACGCCAAGGTTTATGAGTAAAGACATCAGGTGTATTTGTGTGTGAGAAAGCAGACTGACTTGTGGAGAAGCCGGTCCTCTTGTGACAGCGAGTGAACTCGATGTTAAAGTAGGTGACCAGAGCGTGGATGTAGTCGTTCCGCTTCACCTGCAGGCAGAATGGTGAGGTGAAGGACAGGTCCTCCAGCTTCACTGTGTAGATGTCCACCTCCTAAAACACACACATCCACAAGATGGTGTCAATTTTCCAATGTCTATTACAGCAAACAACCAGAGTCAGTGCCCCTGTAGCAGAGATACACCTCATTATACACCAGATTAACAATTAGTTCTTGATCCACCCACCTTGATGAGACATGCACTGCTGACCAGCTGCTTGGGATCCACCACATCAACCAGGGGTTCCTTAATTGCCACCTCCTTGATGCATGACATATCAAAACCATACACGTTCTCCCACCCTGCAGAGGCACAAACAGTTTCAGTTCACTGAAAGAAAAAATTATATGATATGCCAGTGGAGTCCGATAGTCATTTTACTGATAAGTGCACCCATTCGGAACAAAAATGCTCGTCCACAACACATAGCTGTAGCAACACACTACAGACTCAGGAAACAGATGACGCCAACTGTCAGAGATAGGCATAGGTTGGGTCAGGTGAAAGACTACTCACAGTGGATTTTGTAGTCCTTGTACTGCCTGTCTTCGATGGCAGTGACATAAAGGGTTGCCCTGTCTGGAAAAATGAGTCCATCTGGTTTCTGTCAGTGAGAAAGAAAGACATAAAACTGATACCTTTAGACATAGATGTATGTGATGACAGACCATCTAGCCTGTCCAACAGCATATGATTATCTGGATTTAAAAAAAATGCATTAGTAAGAAACAATCTATAAATGATTAAACTTTCCCTAACAGCAAACTGAAGCTTAAGATAAAACTTTGTAGAAAACGGATATAACATTCAGTCATTTAAAATATGTTTATGCTTTAGATTCTGGATTTTCTGAACTGGAATTCAGATGAATTCAGTAACTACCTGTATGTTTTTCCAAAACGGCAACAAGTAGCGTTTTGAATTTGATTCACATGACCGACTCCACAAATTAAATATTTCAGCCTAGTTTCACATTCAAGTGAATGGCCATAACAATATTAAGCTGTAAAATTGCTACCGTTTAAAACAATTAGGCATAGAGCATGGAAAATACTCTGGCTCCTCCTACTTCACAACCCCACACATACATACCAGCCACTTGTCCCTGGCATAAATGACTGTGTTGAGCATGGACTCATAGAAGAGACAGTAGCCCATCCACTCAGATATGATGATGTCTACTCCCTCCACAGGCAGCTCCACCTCTTCCACCTTGCCCTTGATGATGGTAACAACTGGAGACAAGAGCAAACAGAAGGTAGTTAAAAATTCTGTAATAACCTGTTATTATATTTCAAAAACATCTATCACAACACAGAAATTAGTGAAAAGATGAACAGAGACCGCTGCCATGCAGTGACTTTTTATGTCACCAGTAGCACTAACATCAAACCTTTTCACCACCAGACACATCACAATTATTGGGCTAGCAATACAGCCTACCAATGCTAAAGCCAGCTAGACAACATAGTCATGCATGTGAGATCACAGACTACTACTACTAGCTAATCAATATGCACCACCAACAGACAGGAGGGTCTACAGCTGGCTATTGATTGGAACGCAGGAACATCCCTATCGATTAATTGGAAATTTAAATTCAGACCGGTCAACTAGTGTACACAAATTCTATGCACAGAGTCTTGCGTGACCGGGAAATGACCCAAAAATAAAAAATAAAATAAACCAAACCCCACACAATCAGGTTATATTTACTCACCATCATCGAGCTTGTTGGCCTTGACAATTTTCACAGCGTAGTCCGAGATGCTGCTGCACTCTATCTATTAAGACAAAGAAAGAACATTTGAAAGCATGCATTACTTATGCTGCTACCATGGACTAAGAAATGCAGTCAATCTGTAAACCAGCCAACTATTTATCTGGAATTCAGTTATTCAGATTATTTAAACCACAGTCAAACTGAAAGTCAGTGCAGCTGAAATTACTATGACAACAAAAGTGAGGCATCCAAGGCACTACAGATGAAAGGAACCACATCAGGTCTCAAATAAAATTAAGTATTTTAGTTTCATTAAAGTATGCAGTGCAGCACTAAATTTAGGCCTCTATAGGAGATATTCGCTCATTTGTCAAAACGTGTAGCCACACCAGGCTTGTGACGGAGACCCGCTTCTATTGGGGAAACATTTGTATTGGAAGTTTTACAATAGTTGTTATACAGCCTAACACATACCCCTATAACCTTCTTGGCTCCAGCTTTGGCAGCGAACATGCAGAGGATGCCTGTCCCGCTGCCCACGTCCAGCACCACCTTGTCCTTAAACAAATGCTTGTTGTGGAACATGGAATTGCGGTAGGTCAGAGTGCGAACTTCATCTTTCAGCATCTCCTACGGTGGAAGTAAAAAGAGACCAACAGAGGGGTTGAGATCTTGTTGCACAAAGATAAAACTTGAAACTGCAGTTAGATCATTTGAATATGAAAGTGCAGCAGTTTGTTCAGTTTAAAATAAATTACCTCATGGATGCCAAAGTGGGCGTATGAGTCAAAGTAGTAATCCTTTGATGTCATATCCTCAGCTGCAGGCTTGGCTGAGCTCTCCCCCTGAGAAACCTCAACAAAAGACACACACAGTTACAACCTGTAATGTACCTGAGCACATTTGTGATTTTTCTGTTTTTGGTTTAGTAGTCATTTGTAGAGTATAGACTTGCATCCTCATCTGGGGATAAAAAAATAAAAATAAAAAAAAAAGTAACCCCATACACAGACATGGCATGAGTGTAAGATATAGTGGCATCTATCACACTAGAAGGAAGTTTCCACAAACATCACAAATAGTGAATAGTCAATGCTGGACCAGTATGCAAGTTCTACTGTGTGGTGTGGTGTAAAAACTTAAAGCCACCGAATGGACTTAACAGTCAAAGTAGGAGGCATTTTGTGTCCAGCAGGAAAACGTTCCCTAAATTTGCATCTTCATAGATTGTGGAATTTTAAAGAAAAGAGATAAAGAAAATATGCCTCTTAAGATTTTTAACATGAATGTTACAATTTTTTGTTTGAATATGAGACGCACACATTATCATTCCAAGTAGATTGTATTTGTATACAAGTCTTAATACATTGTCGGAGGGGATCTTTAAACTCTAAGTGAATAGGAAAAGCCTCCCCGGCAGTACAAAAGATGGGAGCACATGGTTGATTGTACTAGTGGGATGTCTTGGCCTTAGACTAGCGCGCATACACACACACACACAAAGCTCTTAGAATAAACTTTGATGCCAACGTAATTGCCAGGCCTTTACACTCGGTAGACACAACTGGTGTTAACGGTTAAATGCGCTACCTACACGCTACGCTAACTTACTAACGTTAATTAATCGGCCAACAAGATATCACAACGCAACAAAGTCGGTAAATTCCAAGTTGATACCGCTATTAAATAAAGACATCGATGGGGGGAGATATTGGCACAAATGTTGCACCAGCTTAAAACAAGCTAACGCTGGAGCTGAGTAAAAACCTGTGGGGCGGATGAGGCAGCATCCATGCCTGAAGTAGCTAGCTAGCTCGGAAGCTAACACGTTAGTCCCCATGCGGTCCCAAAGGCTCGTCAGACACAGCCCCGGCCGGCTGTCGCACCAACTAAAACACCGTTTGTGTAGTCGCTTAAATGATCAGCTTTGGCCATCAACTTACATTGCCACGTAAATACGGACCGAGTCAAGTGTTTAAATCGAATCTTAAGTCTGTCCGATATACGACGATAAATGAATGAGCGCCAATGGCAGATGCATCACACAAGTAACGTTAGCTAAGTTAAAATGGATGCATCACTACGTACTCAATAAAAACAAAAACAAATGAAGACATGTAGAAGAATTTACAACAGATTTCCTGGAATAATGAAAACATTCATGTTTCGTTTACAAAGACAAATTAAGAGTTTTTTTTGTATCTCCTATTGTAAGACCTTACCTCCATCCTCTCTGCTGGCGCCGCCATTTCGATCTCCTGCCCTGCCTGCGTGAGCTTGGAAGACTTTTCCCTGACCCCGCCCACGACCGCCGTCTTTTATTTCTGATTGGAACGTAATTTAGACCCCGCCTATATTTGTATATAGCCTACTGAAAGTCAGAATTTTGGCATCGAACTACGAAAAACAAATTTACTTTCCTCGACATCGCAAACAAAACACTGAATGTATATATAAGACAGGCAGAAATAAGCACATTTTGGTGATATAAGTTAAATCATAAGGCATCGCATCTCACAGTGACTCTCTAAGGACTGCTGCTGCATTCAGGTGTCCATGGAAAATCTAGTTACTCTCTGCTTAATAGCCATGTACAATTCATTGATAGTATAAGCATAATATACAAGCAAACTACAAACTAAACATCATAGTCCAGTAAGTAGCTATACCAAAAACCCCACCGTATTTTATAGTTTTCTACTAACAGGAAATTATTATGTACAATATCAGACATCAAACTGTGTACTATCTTTGGACAAAAACGTTGGACTATCTGGCAATTAAACTTTAAATTAACATCCAAATATTTCCTTTAAGTTTAATACTTATCGTTTGTTTTCTGAGATCTTTTTGTTGTTGTATGTTATACATGTAATGTAAATCAGAATCAGGTTTATTGCCAAGTAAGTTTTCACATATGAGGAATTGGTACATTGGTGCATAAGAATAACAATCAAGCTAGAAAAAGAAAAATAAAGACAAAAAATAGAGACAATAAAAAGGAGGAGCCACTATATACGAATATAAAGAGTGAGAGAATATGTACAAAATGACCAGATACTTAAATAAATAAGTAAAAGCTGTACAGAAATGTGCAAGATAAAAAACCCCAACAGAATTGTGTTAATATAATGCATATATACAGGGTGGGTTTAAGAGTCATTGTCAGTGGGGGTCCAGGGCCTTGTTGATGAGACCAGCTGCAGATGGAAAGAAACTGTTGCTGTGGCAGAAGGTTTTCCCCTTGATAGACCACAGCCTCCTGCCAGAGGGAAGTCTTTTTCAAAAAGTCTGTGTCAGGGGTGGTAGGGGTCAGCCACAATCTTACCTGCACGCCTCAGGGTCCTAGAGGCATACAGGTCCTGGAGGGATGGCAAATTGCAGCCAATCACCTTTTTAGCGGTGCGAATGATACGCTGCAGTCTGTCCTTGTCCCTGGCAGTGGCTTACCAGATGGTGATGACGGAGGTGAGGATGGACTCATGGATGGCAGTGTACAAGTGCACCATCATTGTCTTTGGCAGGTTGTAAAGGTTGGATTCTAGAGTCTCATTATTGGAGTTTTACCGGGAAATAAGTTGTAATTGTTTGATCGTTGTGAGGAAATGTAGTGTCTGGTAAATAGAATAAAGGAGATAGGAAGAAAGTCAGAGGAAATACTCTACCCGATTTTAAATGTCTGGGGAGGCCTAAAGGTTAATAAGCAGCGATAAAATCCAAGGGCATGGGGGTTCAGGTACACACCTGATCCAGCCCTAACTAATAAAAGCTTTATCAAAGAGAAAAAATGATACATTAAGCCTACTCCTTAAATATGTGGATGAGGGTGTTCTGCCTCCCGAGAACCACAACTGGGGAAGCTGGGTTCCCCACAGGAAGAGGAGCTGGTAACTGAGGCTCTGGCTCTGTTCTACTTTTAGAGACTAATAGGAACCAACAAGTAGCCAGCATTCAGAGAACGCAGTGTTCTAGAGGGGTAATAGGGTTATATGAGCTCTTTAAGATATGAAGGGGTCTGGACCATGAAGGAGCTTGTAGGGGTGAGGAGGAGGATTTTAATTGCCTATATCTGAATTTTACAGGGGAGCATATGCCAGAGAAGCCTAGAACAGGAAGGTATGATTTATTTTCTTAGTTCTGTCAGTACTCCGTGCCTGCAGCGGTTCTGAATTTATTGAAGCGTCCCTAATTGGACTTATTGGGGCAGCCCTGATAATAAGAATTTCAGTAATCCAGCCTAAAAGTAACAAATGCAGGATTAGTTTTTTGCATCTGTCGTGATAGGAATGTGTCCTTAATTTTTGCATGTTATGTAAGTGAAAAAGGCCAAGTGCTAGAGGTTTGCTTTATGGTGGGAAGTTAAAGGACTATATCCTGATCAAAGATAACTTTCCAAGGATTCTGGACAGTGGTGCTAGGAGGCAAAAGGTAATATCATTTAAAGTTAACTATATCTTTAGACATGTGAGTCTCTGGAGGTTTTTTGGGGCCAAGTAAAGAACCTTCAAGTCCGTAGTTTAAACAAATCAGAAAAATTGCAGGACATCCAGGTTTTTAATGTACCTAAGACATGCCTTGAAATTTTAGATAATAGATTTAATTTATGATTCAAATTAATGAATTAAAAGTTGTGCTATTTGACATCAATTTCATCGAAACAACCGTGCCCGTGGCGTGGGAATTTCAACCAACTCGCCATGAAAAGATGGGAATTCTGGTGTCATAACTTCTGCGTACCATGAATAGCCCATCTCCATGCAAACTTACATCCATGTTTAGATAAGAAGTCACCGCCCCTGAACATGTCTATGTTGAAAATAATATTCTAGGTAATAGGATGAGAGACCCACACCAGTAGGTGGTGGAAAGGAAAATGTCATATTTTCAATTATACTACTAATCACATGTTCACATAACTACCCATTAGCAGGGAATGGATGCAGATCCCAGGACTTGAAATTTAGTCAGGAAATTGCCAAAACATGTAATGTTTATGAAAATTTCATGATATAGTGGTGACAGTTTGTTAAAGGGCGTTGTCCGTGGCAAATGGCCGTCCAAAACTATTGGATGTACCGTACCGCCAAACAGACACAAATTTGCTATAAACTTGCGTAGCGTGTTCCACAATATAGTCCAAACCGACTGACCCAAACTTAACGAGGCGGTATTTTGCTGATAAGCACGATCCTCGAACACACATCTAATGTAAGATAATAGGTCCACTAGGTAAGAGTAAATATTCACTAATAGTGAAGAGCGGCACACCTTAATGTGGTTAGAAAAGGGAAATGGTAATCTTATTACTTCACCATATTATTGTATATCTTCCACAGGCAGATTGACAAGATCGATAAGCTGAAAAATTCTGTCCAAGTAAAAGTTTTCTTAGGAGGTAAAATGAATGACGATGAGCATCTTATGAAATTCATTTAAGATATTTTCCCTAAGAACCATGGTTACCACTGGCCGATGCAGCGAAAAAATGCAGCTCCTTTTGTGTTTAAACAATTTGAAC